CATGCGAATTACGAACAAATCGGTGCTGTCGGTGCCTAATTTTTATAGAAAATTTATCGAAACCAGCTCACAAGTCAAAACTTGTATTTTCTCTGAGTACGAGAAGTAAAGTTTATAAATGTGTATATCACTAATTTTTTACGGAAAACTATAAATTTTTAGGAGGAACCTACATTTTGCATCAATTTTGCTGCAAAGAAAATAAAAACAAAACACAGAGACAGAGAACTGTGAAATCGAATTAAGAGTGTGCCCGTGGGAATGGGGTAATTTGCAATCGTAATAGGGGGAGCGACCAAAGTAATTGAAGATGGTGTGGGAAAAGGGTATAACGAACAAACGTTATAAATGGACAACCAGTAAATAACAACCGACTAACTATCGATTGCAATACAAAAATCTTAATATTTATACTAATGAGGTGCTAACGTCGGTTGGGTAACTAATGCCATCAATCAATAAGAAATACAGACCAATTCTGAATACCCCCAGGGAGTTTGTTCTCCGGGGATTAGTTTTTCCCGCTAAAAATATCCTCGAATAAAAAAACTCCCAAGCAATAGCATTTTTACCGAGGAGGAACTTGGGCGGAGGAAACTCGAACTTAGAAAGAGCTATATGACAGCCCAACTCCATAATTTAAAGTAAANTCGACGAACTATCGATTGCAATACAAAAATCTTAATATTTATACTAATGAGGTGCTAACGTCGGTTGGGTAACTAATGCCATCAATCAATAAGAAATACAGAACAATTCTGAATACTCCCAGGGAGTTTGTTCTCCGGCGATTAGTTTTTCCCGCTAAAAATATCCTCCAATAAAAAAAACTCCCAAGGAATAGCATTTTTACCGAGGAGGAATTTGGGCGGAGGAAACTCGAACTTAGAAAGAGCTATATGACAGCCCAACTCCATAATTTAAAGTAAAAAATCGTCAATCGTTCATTATAGGAGGAAAGGGAAAAGAGAGAAAACTCCCACGGAGATTCTGTTCAGAAGCGGCCTGATAGGAACTTATTTTTATTTTTTATTTATTGATGTAACTTTTTGATCTGAAGCTTCGTTTTAATTTAGTGATCAAATATTTAAATGTAAGTCATACTGCCATACCTAAACAAAAGCGTTTGCGTTGTCTGGGGGTCAAAAAATTCTCATGCTCATACAATTTGTATGAAGCATACCAAAACAACGCGGCGTCAACGCTGAATGGTTGGAAAATCCGATCTTGACAGGGCGTTAGGTATTGAAGGTTGGCTGCAGAAAACGGCGAAACTGTCATTTTCGTGATACCCACAAACAAAGCTATGCTTATTGTTGGTAATATTTCTGCATTTGACGNTGGTCAAAAAATTCTCATGCCCATACAATTTGTATGAAGCATACCAAAACAACGCGGCGTCAACGCAGAATGGTTGGAAAATCCGATCTTGACAGGGCGTTAGGTATTGAAGTTGGCTGCAGAAAACGGCGAAACTGTAATTTTCGTGTTACCCACAAACAAAGCTATGCTTATTGTTGGTAATATTTCTGCATTTGACGTAGCGTTGACGCTTTTGTATAGGAATGGGCCCTTGGCCTTAAAGCTAGGCGTTAGAAAACGCTCCGCCCTACGCTTTTTTTGACAGAATTTTTCAATTAAACGTAGCTTTTAAAATAATTCAATACGACTTTGTTCATCGTGGTCAGGCTGTGCCCAACTTCATCTCGTACCTCTTCAACACATTGTTTTAGCAACATTGCTAATTTGTTATTTTCGACCACATGCAGTAAATACGCTTCTTATGGGTATGAAATCTGCTTAAAACCGTGTTTTATAAATAAACAAGCTCTTAATTAACTGTTTTATAAGCAGGATTTACTTTGCGTGTCAAACTGTCATTTAACTGATATAGGGCCCAGCGAAATTCGGGCGGCAAGGCGATTGATTTGGAGTTTTGGTGGCCACTTCACTGGCAAGTGGAGAATTATATAATTATTTATTCCTTTAAAATAGTACATGTTTTTTTTACAGACAAGGACCAAGGAGTTGCATTTAAACCGCTGTTTCGATTTAACTAACCTTCCGTAACATAATTTCGTAAAAACGGGCTGTACAGTTGAATTTTATTACCCGAAATGTTGCGTACTACCACCGGTCTTTTATCTCGTCTCTCAGTCAATGAATCAAAAACGACCAGTTCCGCTTTGGGCCTTGAGTTTGTGCGCTGGCGTCGGAAGCCCCGTTGGTTACCTGTAGCGAAAAGTAAATTGTACCGTGTGCCGGAGCGCAAGGAACAAAATGCGGATGAAAGAGCTGAATTGATGCGACTGCATAACAATTACAAGTATTCCTATAATATATACCGTTATACCCCAAAAATAGTTTATAATCCTAATTCATAATTAGATTACAAATGCGCTCCATACGGCAGTATTTACGCGAAGAGGTTTTGCGTTTGAATGTAACAACCACTGCTGATCACATTGTACTCACACCAGAGCAGGAAGAAGCCGAGTTCCAACGTTGTATGCAAGAGAATGAAGTTTGGAATCAAGCGATTGCCGCTGAACGAAATGCACGTTTGCAGAAGGACCGTGAACGACAGGCTGGCGAAATTCGCGAACGTTTAGAAGCAGCGCGTTTGCGCGAGGAAGAACGTTTGGAGCGAGCTGAAGAAATTGTTAGGCGAGAGAAAGAATTAGCAAAGACATATGTGACCCGCGAAAATCTTGATACCGCTATCGAACAGGCGCTAGCCAATCCAGTNCGCAGCGCGTTTGCGCGAGGAAGAACGTTTGGAGCGAGCTGAAGAAATTGTTAGGCGAGAGAAAGAATTAGCAAAGACATATGTAACCCGCGAAAATCTTGATACCGCTATCGAACAGGCGCTAGCCAATCCAGTTGATTACAACTTTTCCTTGGATTTGAAAGGCAATATTTATCGAGGGCGCACCACTCTGCCAGGTGGTAAAGGTACACCAGCCACAAGTGGCGCCCAAGAGGGTGAATTACAGCAAGCTGTAGAAGCTAGAAACTAAGTGGATCGTTATCAAGTAGTATAACAGATTTTGAAGTGCTTTCCTTATACATATTTTAACGTTATTGAGTGTTGCGTTCGCAGAAATCGTCAATGGCGCAAAATAATAAAGTGAAATGAAAAGTTTGCAATTTATGTATGTACACATAAATCTGGTAATGTTTTGCATGTTTTATTTGAAAATTTTAAATTTTTTCGCCCAACAAAATTATTGAATATAGGAATTTTGTGTCGCACATGCACTCANTATCGTCAATGGCGCAAACTAATAAAGTACATATAAATCTGGTAATGTTTTGCATGTTTTATTTGAAAATTTTAAATTTTTTCGCCCAACAAAATTATTGAATATAGGAATTTTGTGTCGCACATGCACTCATTAACAAACTTCATATATTTTTTTTAAATTTAACGGTTCTTGTGCTCCCAAGTTAAATTTGATCTCCCATATTTTTCCTTAACTTGTAACCTAATTGAATTAAAGTAGCAATTTACATGGATTTTCCATTTATAGATATCAGTTTCTTCATGTGTACACTGTATTACAAAAAGTAGGATGCATTGTTACTAAATTCTTTGCGCTTTCACTACGCTACCTAATTTCACAGAATATGCCTATTTCGGTTAAGCTTTTACTATGACTATAGTTACCTACAAGTAGCTGTTAAATTAAAACAACAAATAATACATTACTAAATTTATATAAACGTAAACTAATGCATTTGCGATGCTATGCTGGCTTTGGCCGCTGCCGCCGTTCCTCCTGCTCCATTAGATGTTCCCAGTCGGGTGTGGCGGTGAGTTTGGCTTGTATGGGACCCAGATTAATCATGTTACCACTACGCTCTTCTCGATTCGTATTGATCGACATGAGGTCCTGGAAAATTAAATAATTGGTTGATAAGATACACTGCATAATCTAAACTTTTAGCTTACCTGTAGGAAACCCGTTTCCATGCCCATATTCAGATCGAAATATGTATTGCCGAATACGAGCTTTACTTTACCCGATTTATAACGCAGCAATTTGCCAATTTTACCTTCCTCCATTTCTTTAAGAGATATACGTTTTGGAGGGGGTTTCGAAGCGGGTGGATTTTGTGATGTAGATGGCGTATCCGCTGATGCTTTCTGAAAAACCAATATGAATATGCAATATTAAAAAGCGAACTTTTAAATTAATCAAGAAAAATATTTATCGTACTTTATCCTGCAGTGTTTTATCAGCTACTTCCTCTACATCGCCTTCACATGGTAATGCATCTGGCAGCTAAATTGTATTATTAGATTGAATTTGTATTTCTATGGTTTATCGTTGTTCACGGTACGTACCTGCAGTAGTAACAATTGAGATTGTGACAAGTCCAGTAGTTCACCTACGGACGCAGGATACCGTGCCAAGGCACTATTTGTGCGTTGATGCTGCTTAACAGCCAACGATTGTAATGTTTGTGCAATAGCGACGGCAGAATCTATATAAGAAATTAAGAAAAAATGCAGTTATTTCTAAAATGTTTCCACAAAATGCATTTAAAAATAGTTTATGCCAAGTATGATTTGCAATTTTGTTTATGGAATGCATGAATACTATGTGATGTAGTTGGATTTTTCACAAGTTACAAAAGCACTTTTCTACAACGTAGATACGCACTCACCGGAGTTTTCTATCTTTCCATCTACACCGTTCATTCCAACATCTAACTTTTCAAGCTTTACTTCTGCTTTAATGGTTTTCCACTTGACTAAAGTGTATTATTGGGGTGGGGTGATCGTTTAGTTAAGGTATGCATGTTTGTGTCGGCGGGAGAGTATAAATGGACAAACCAAAAATAGTAAAAAAGAAAAACGCCAAGAAAGTGTAATTCGTTACAACCAACACAATAGTTAACTAGTTGATATCCAGTAGCCGCTCAAGCACTAGCCTTCTTACTTTGCGTACTACAGGTGGTCAATTGTCTTTCTAATGTACCAAATGATCTTCTTGAAGTCGACTATATAGTGGGTTCATATTTCGACTTCCACGCACTTTTGGTTTCAAAATATGAATGTCAGACCATCACTTTTACTTACCCTCATTTAATTTGACCGGTATCTGCTCTAATTCAGTCTTTTCATCTCCGAAATCATCTTCGTCCGTATCACCCAGTAATTCACGTACATGCTCTTCATCTGCTTTCAAATCAATTTTCTTCAAGTGTTCACTTTTGATAATTGTTGGTCTACGCATTTGTGAGGCGGTTGCATCATCGTTGGTTCGACTGCCAAAGCCTGAACCTCCTGAGCTGGTTTTGCGTATATTAACAGCACCAGCACCTTCTGAGAAAACGCCGGTAGTTTGTATGAGGGACGAATTAGCAGCGCCAGCAGCACCGCCCCGACCGCCACGCAATCCACTGCCAGCGCCACGTCCACCACGCGCACCTCGACCGCCTCCACGACCACCACGCGCTGTGGTGTCTTTCGATGTTTTAACGTTGCTAGAAACAAAAATGATTCATGCAGTTTTATATCGTTTTAGCAACAAATGTTTTGTTTATACTATGTACAACTCACGTGTTCTTGTTGCGCACCACATTGAGGTTGGGCGTGAATACTTTTTTGGCTGCATTATTAGCGGCAGCGCCACCACCACCACGTCCGCCTAACGTTAAATCCCGAGCCGGCTTCAATGATGACAATTTATGAAGCGTTGGTGTAGTTGCTGCAGAGCTGCCGTTCATGTTGATCACTTCTTTTGTTGTCTTTTGTGCCGCACAGTTTTAGCAATGCCACACCGACGCCCAGTTCTATGACGAGTAGTACAAAGTTTTCAGATATTACCTCCGCAAATGTTCCTGCTTTTAGTAGAAAGGCTGTTATTTGCTAATAGATGGCTTACTATGATGCACATTCCCATTCTCTGTGGACATGTGGCAAGTAAATTCTTCCAAATATATCCACTGTTTGTATGTTTTGTTGTTGTTTTGACTGTTTCGCCCACCGATGACAGCTTGGTTGTCATTTTAGTGCTTCTTCTTCTTATCAGAGAACGTATATTTATAGAGAAGGACCAAGAACGGATCTAAAGGCTCCGTTATGCATACTTGGCAGAGAACGTATATTTATAGAGAAGGACCAAGAACGGATCTGCGTGGAAACTGTCAAATACCAACAAAACTGGCGAAGCGCATTTTAAGAGCGGCCAGCAAGAGACAATCGAATTTTAACAGAGCCCAGCCAGAAGCAAAATAAATTTAACAGAAATTGTCTCATCAAAGCAAATGCATGTTTTTCTTGTTAGACGCGAAATGCTGACGGCTTTTTACGTTTTTACAAAGCTTTTATTGTTCTTTAAATTGGTTAATTATTTAAAATAAATGCATGCATAGGTCGAAATATGTAATATGTACATATTGTGTACATGCA